GAGCCATAGTGAGAGACCATCTTTAAAAAAAATAGCCAGGCATTGTGGCAGGCACCTGCAGTCCCAGCTACTCAGGAGGCTGAGGCAAGAGAATCCTTGAGCTCAAGAGTTTGAGGTTTCTGTGAGCTATGATGCCATTACACTCTACCAAGGGTGACCAAGTGACATTCTATCTCAAAAAAATGCAATGAATAATTAATCAAGCATTTGGAGAATATCGATAAGCATGTGACAGATCACATAGAGCAACTAGACAGATATGAAAAAGAATTACCAAATTGGGTGGCACGTGTGGCTTAAAAGAGTAGGGTGCCGGCTCCATATACCAAAGTGGCGAGTTCAAACCCAGCCCCAGCCAAAACTGCCAAAAAAAAAAAAAATCACCAAATTGGAAAAGAAAGGCAACTACTAACTCTGGGAACAACAAAAGGTTGGACCACACAGCAAATGTAATAATATGGTAAACTACTTGGCTCAGTTAACTAAGAATGATTAACATTAAGAGGATAGAGAAGAGTAAATGAGTGGAGAAGGGGGAAGAAGAGGACTAAATCTTCATCCACCACAATAGAAAGGTGTAACATAATATTTCAAAGTGGATAAATAAAAAAACAGTACCACATATTTAAAACACTAGAGGTAAATATCAAAAGAAATCTTAAATACTATCTGAAAGAGGTTGCCTCTATGGGGTAAGTTGGGACACTGCTGTTTTCCAAAAAAAGTCCAAAATCCCTTATCTCAAACCCTTGGGACCAGAGGATGTGGTTTGGAATTTAGAATTCTCTGGCCTTCAAAAAGGTAATACAGTACATATTCTATCTGGCATATGATGCCTTCCCTGGCATCTGAGAAAGCCCAGTAGAATCCATCTCATTAGTATTTCTGCAGTAATACATATGCACATTCCCAATAAGTGGGATAAAATGAAGACCACAATTATGATTGTTTAAGTTTAGATCAGACTTTATTGCCAAAAACTCTTGGTTGTTGGAATTTTTTGCATTGGGAATACTGACTTTTAAAATGACAGCACACATACACACATTTTACTTTCAATACCACTTACATCTCTGTCCTGGGTTGTTCAGTGTTCAATCTACACAACCATACATGGGCATCCTGACTTGGATAAAGGTAAAAATTAAAAGAATGTGGACATCTGTTTTTAGTGCTGCTAAATGGAATGTAAGACGAGGGTGAAGAAAACTCCCTCAGACCTGGAGCTTCTCAAAAAAAATATTTCAAGTGAATGAACAACCATCCATTTACACTGGCTGCTCTGGAGAATGCAGTGGGGTCTCCATCATTACTCAGTCTTACCCAGAGAGCATCTGGCTGAGCAAAGTATGTGACTGCCCCAATCTTATCCAGATGTCCATCATCTGTGCTGCAATGTGGCTGAGGGGCAGGTAGCTGACCACCAACTCCCGCTTCTCCAATAGTCCAAAGTCTTTTGACACTGCCCCGGCCATCCACATGATCTAGAACACAAAGGGCGATCCAGAATGCCTTGCCCCTGGCCATTTGAAGTGTATTTATTTGGCAAACACAATGCACCTCCTATGTGTCAGGCACTGTTCTGGTACTTCACAAACATGGAGTCATTTAATACCCACCATAAGACCTCGGGGTTGGTGATTACCAATCTCTCTATTTTACGATGGTGAAACAGAAACATAGTATGGGTCACTAACTTGCCTGAGGTTAGTGGGAGTTATAAGACTCCCTGGGCTGCTTTGGGGTAGGGTAGTTTGCAGATCCCCCTGGATCCAATGACAGATTCGGAATGTCTTCCTGGACACTCAGAAAACTGAAGGTTTCAGTAAGAGTCACAGAGTCAAATCCTGCCCCTACCATTTGTTAGAATTTGGACTATTCACTTAAAATCCCTGATGGCCTCTATTTCCTCATCTGTGAAGTAGAGAGCAAAAGCTTCCCATGTCCAATATAAAACTATGGATCCAATGCTGTCAAACAAAAAAGCTACCCACAATCCTATCTCATAAACACCCCCCAAATTAACATATTTGTGCTTTTCTTTCTCCAATGCACACATTCATATAAAGCCTTAGTGTACTTATAATTTTGTCATCTTTATTTCTCACTGGTGTTGTATATCTCTGGTGTATGGTTACCTCATTTATCCAGCCACACAGACCTCCTTGCTGTTCTTCTAATACATTAGGCATGGTGCAGCCTCAGGGCCTTTGTAATAGCTGTTCCGTTTGGAATGCTATTCTTTCAGCTTTTTTCCCCACTGTACCATGGCTGGCTACTTCTTGGATGTTAAGTGTCAATTCAAATGTCACCTCCAGGCTCAGTGCCTGTAGCTCAAGTGGCTAAGGCACCAGCCACATACACCATAGCTGGTGGGTATGAATCCAGCCTGGGCCTGCCAAACAATGACAACTACAGCCAAAAAACAGCTGGGCACTGTGGCGGGTGCCTGTAGTCCCAGCTACTTGGGAGGCTGAGGCATGAGAATCGCTTAAGCCCGGGAGTTTGAGGTTGCTGTGAGCTGTGATGCCACGGCATTCTACCCAGGACAACAACTTGGGGCTCTGTCTCAAAAACAAACAAACAAACTAACAAACAAACAAATGTCACCTCCATAGGAGAGACATCTCACCCAAGCTGAAGAGACCAATGTCTTAAGTCTCTAGGTATTGCTTACCACAATCTGAATGGTTTCATTCATTCCCTGTCTGTCTTCCTGAGATCCAGGATGGGGTCTGCATTTACAGCCTGAAGTCCAAGGAACTCAGTACTCATTTATCGAAGAAAGAGACTTGGCGGGTATAGAGTGATGTACAATCTTGGTTTAGATCCAGGCTTAGACTTTCCCTTGCTCTGTGACTTTGGACAAATCATTTCCCCTGTCCAAACCTGTTCCCTCTTCTATAAAAGGGATTAATGACACGATTTAACTTGTGAGGGTTTTGTGAGGGGTTAAAATATGTTTATCTTTGGGCCGTTGATATATGGTGAGAATATAGAGCTAGCTTTACCTACTTACTATAAAGATGATGATGATAAAAGTGATATTAATAGCTATCATGCTAAGCATTTTGTGTTTATGTCAGAAATTAACGACAGCTGTAAATTTTCTGCCACCCCTCCCATTCAGATGTGGAATCTATTTCTCTTTCCTATGAAACAAGGCTGCTCCAGTGACTTGTTTTGACCACCTGAATGAAGCAGAAGTGACACCATGTAAATGCTGGGACTGAACCTTAATAGATCTGTACCTTTTGCTTTGGCCTGGAGGGCTGTGTTTTTCTGGTAGGAGTCAGCTGCCATGCTAAGAAGTTCAACAACCAGCTCGGCGCCTGTGGCTCAAGTGGCTAAGGCGCCAGCCACATACACCTAAGGTGGTGGGTTTGAATCCAGCCCGGACCCGCCAAACAACAATGACGGCTGCAACCAAAAAATAGCTGGGTGTTGTGTCGGGTGCCTGTGTTCCCAGCTACTTGGGAGGCTGAGGCAGGAGACTCGCTTGAGCCCAGGAGTTGGAGGTTGCTGTGAGCTGTGATGCATGGCACTCTACCCAGGGGGACAGCTTGAGGCTCCGTCTCAAAAAAAAAAAAGAAGTTCAACAACCAAGCTAACTAAGAGGAAGCCCACTGAGGAATCAGACAAGTGAGTAAAGCTGCTGCTTTTTGCTCTGGATTTTGGAGACAGCATATTCATTCTCATTCTCTCTCTCTCCCCTTTTTAGATGAGTGAAGCTTCTTAAACTCTCCATGCAGCCCAGGCACCAGCTGAATGCAGCAAAGGGAACCCAGCTAATGTGTGGATCAGAAAAAACACCCTGCTGCGTCCTGTCCAAATTCCAGACCCATAAACAATACACTGTCAGTGTTTTACATCACTAAGTCCTAGAGTGTTTTGTTACACAGTAATAGCAAATAGCATATTAAATAATTTAATCTGCACAGCAACTTTAAAAGGTAGGAATCATATCTATTTTAAAGATTGGGAAAATGAGGCCCTGAAAAGTTAAGGGATTTGCCCCAAGGACACATAGCCAGCAAATGGAAGAGCCGGGATTCAAACACAGGAGGTCTTACTTCAGGGTCTGTGCTTATAAACCCTGTGCTAGGAGAATACTTTACCAGATGTGAAATCACTAGAAGCATAAGTGCAAGCCAGCACAGCAAGAGGATCCTTTCCAATCAGATTTTGTTCACTCATTCATTCCCCAAAAGTGAATCAACTCTTCACTGGCCATCAGTAAACAAAACAGGCCCTGCCTTCAGGGAGCTAATGCTTATACACATATAACAAGTGAGCGTATAATATGTCAGTGTCAGAAATGCTAATGCAGTGGCAGCCATGGAGGACTGTGTGCAGAGGAGGGACAGGCCCTGACACAGTTGCTCCCTGGTGCTTCCTGGTTGCTGCTAGGGGAAGATAGTGCCTGGGGAATGAAGGCAGGAGGGGTGAACAGGGCAGAGGCACAGGTCCAGGCTGGACCCAAAATAATTTTTCTGTATCTTGCATATCTTGCATCATACAGTTGAGTCCAAGTTTGTTTCTTTACAAGGGCTCCTGTGATGTCTGAGCATTTTTTTTTTTTTTTTTGCAGTTTTTGGCTGGGGTTGGGTTTGAACCCACCACCTCCAGCTTATGGGGCCAGTGCCCTACTCCTTTGAGCCATAGGTGCCGCCCTAAACATTTTTTTTTTACTCCTATGATTTATTGACAACTGTTTTCCTTGTTATTATGAAAACTATATGTATGCTTCAGATATTATAAGCTGAGTTTCAGTTTATATATAGACCTTAATCCCTAGTTCACTGTCTTGCTCTAGCAGGAAGTGTGAGAGAGTAACGAAGTAGTTGTAGAAGAATCAAAAAACCTGAGAGGTCTCAGTTAGCACCTGTGGCTCAAGGAGTAGGGTGCCGGCCCCATATACAGGAGGTGGTGGGTAAAATCCAGCCCTGGCCAAAAATTGCCAAAAAAAAAAAAAACCTCCAAGAGGTCTCGAGCTAAGATTCAGGAGGAAGAAGGGAATTCAGCAAGAAAAAAAGTGTTTGGAAAGGCTTAGATTCACATTAGAAATCCAGGCTTGGTGTAGTGGTTTGTTTGTAGTCCCAGCACTTTGTGAGGCTGAAGCAGGATGATCGCTTGAAGCCAAGTATATGAGGCTGCAGTAAACAAGGATGGTACCTGCGAATAGCCACTGTGCAACATAGCAAGACACCCATGCCCAGCCTGGGCAACATAGCAAGATTCCACTCTAAAAACAATTAAAATTGAAACTAGCAATCTTTCTAACTCACAGAGAGGAACTCTCACTGTATAATGGATGCATACCGTGCCATACATTTTTTTCTGCTTTTGTGACTTGCACACTCATATCCCTTGTCATTTTTCAGTTTTAACAAGAATTGCAATGTGCCTTGTGTACTGTTCTGCAACTGGCTTTTGGATGTTTATCACTGCACCCTTGGACATTTTTGCACATCAGCAACATAAATCTACAGTGTAGTTAAATGTGTAGATCATGCAACCAGCTGGCCGGGGCTCAGGTACTGGCTCTGTGGCATTGCCCAGTGTGTGACTGAGGGCAAGCAAGCCTCTGGGCTTCAGTTTTCTCATCAGCAAAAGAGCATGTGCCAGAGGAAACGGACAGACACTGAGAGGAGTCACTAAGCATAAAACTCTGGCATACAGTGAGCAGGAAACAAATACTGTTACTATCTTTTTATTTTCTTAAAAAAAAAGCTTTATTGAGGTGTAACTGTTATGCAATAAACTGCATATATTTAACCGCAATTTGACACAAATTGGCAAGTGTCTATCCCTGGTAAACCACTAGCACCATTAGGAGAGTGGATGTGTCCATACCCACCCCCACCGAAAGTTTCCTCCTGCCCTGCCTGCTCCTTTCCAGGCAACCATCCACTTGCTTTTTGTCACTATAGATAAGTTTGTGATTTCTAGAGTTTTATTTCATTTTAATCTATTTTTTGAGGAAGGGTCTCATTTTGTCACCTAGGCTGGAGATTAGTGGCATTATTGTGAACCTCATGCCTCAGCCACCTGAGTGGTTGGGACTACAGGTGTGCCTGACATACCCAGCTAATTTTTTTTTTTTTAAAGACAGGGTCTCACTATGTTATCCAGCCTGTCTTGAATTCCTGGCCTCAAGTGATCCTCCTGCCTTAGGACTACAAGTGTAAGCCACCATGACCGGCCTCTAGGACATTATATGAATGAAATCACACAGCATGCATTCCATTTATTCTTTTACAAAAGTGATCTAAATTACCATTGGTCTTGGACTCTGCCCAAACATGGCTAAGTTTGTCTCTAAGAAGCAGCCTATCTTAAGCAATCAAAAAAATCAACTTCTGTTGGATCCCTCTCCCCAAGGCACAGAACATACATGCTGGTTTTCCACATACTTATTTTATTATTTAACACAATTCTGAGCTCTCTACAAGCATTAACTTGTTTCGACTTCAAAACAACCCACAAGGTAAGGACTATTCTATCACTCCCATTTCACAGATGAGGAAACTGAGGCTTGGAATGTTAGATGTCTTGCTCAAGATCACAGAGCCAGACTTTGGACCTGGGTCTGCACAGAGTTTGTTGATCTCAACCCTTGCACAACACCACCCTCTCTGGTGTGACCACACGACTCTCTAGGCTCCAGTGGTGAAGAAACCACTCTGTGCTAGACCCCTAAATACCACCCTGCTCCTGGAACAAAAACAGTCTGAAGGCTACCATTCCAGAGAAAAGGGACTTTGGCTTACATTGTCATGGCTGAGCATTGCTCCCTTGGGTGGGCCTATGGTTCCCGAAGTACAGATGATTAGGGCACATTGATTAGCTTTCTGGCTCTCAATAATTCTCTCCAGTTGGGTGTCAGGAATGCTACTGCCAAGTTCCATGAAATCATCCCACTGTGGACAGAAAATACAAGCAGAGGATAAGGAGACAGCCAGGAAGCTCCTTCCTGGATCAGACCTTGTCCTAACAACCTTTACTAAAGCATGATTTCAGAGAAAGAGAAATGGCTTAGGATGTGCCAGTCCTGGTACCTCCTGCAAAAGTCCTAAGATATCTGGTTCTGGCTCTGTCACTTTGGAAGGGCCACTTAAGCTCCCTATGCCTCAGTTTCTTCATTTGTAAAATTCAGACGCAACTCCATGAGGTAATAGAGTTACTATATGTATAATAATATGCTTGGAACAGTAGGGGGCACATGATTAAGTACATTTTAAATAAATACAGGTTGCAAAGGGGCTGTTGGATCTAAGCCATAGTGGAAACGGCAGCAAAAGGTAAAAGTTGCATGCCTATAAATATATTTTTAAATGGTCAGTGATTTTCATAAAAATAGTATTGATGCATTGCAACTATTAAAGCCAGGAAAGTAAAATGATAGTAAATTCTGACATGGGCATACATAAAATATCTAAACTCAAAATGATACATGTATCAGGACCAAACTCCTTGGGCTGTCTAGACACTAACAGAGTTAATATACATAAAATGTTCAGAACAGTAGTTGGCATGTGCTAAGTGCTCTGTGGCATCAGATATTCTTTGCTGCCTTCCCAAGTTCCACTCCTCACCACTAACTTCCTCAACACTGGCTGGACAGGGCTGATTCTACTTACAGGTTCCGAAATCAACCTGATTGGTTTAGGACAGAATAGTCCATTAGCTTGGGTCACAGTGATTAGATCTGGCCTGGGCATGTGACCTCAAGTGGTCCAATCACAGTGAAGATAAAGACTTTAGTCAGGAATTCTGAGACATGGACTCTGGACATGAAAGAGTCAAGATGTGGCCCCAGGAGCTGCTGAACTATCTCAGGGCTATGGGTGGAAGCAAGGCCAAAGTAGAGCCAAGAAATCAAGAAAGCAAAATAGAGCCCAGGTCACATTCTTTGAGTCCCTGGTTACATCTATGCCTGAAATCCACATCCTGAGCTGTAGTTACATAAACAGACAAATTATCTTCTTTTGCATAAGCGATTTGGGGTCAGGCCTTTGTCACTTGCAGCCAAGGGTATCCTTACTGATAATAGATGCATTATCTCCATACTGCAGACAAGGGGGGCTGAGGATCCGGAGGGGTAGCTTACTTGCCCAAAGTCACACAGAAAGTAAACAGAGGAACTAGCATTCAAACCCAATTGTCTGCACTCTTAACTTACAGAATCCAGTGTCTCAAAGTGAACTGTTGTGTTGCGCTGACTATCGCATGGAACACACAGAAATTCTACCACTGAACCCCCCACAAGCCTCTAGATTAAGGTTATACACTAACTTCAAGATGGAGGGGCCACAAGTCCTCCAGAAATGGTCAGTGTCGCCAGTTTGTAATGATTCTGGCTCCATCTAAGGAACCCTCTCCTGCATCATCTTTAACTGGGTGGAATGATGGTGAGAGATGCCCAAGGCTTCCCTCTGCATGGTGCCCTCTTAAAGAAGACTTACCTTCCATAGCCACAAATGACTGGGTTGGGGTAGGAACCAGACCTACGCTGGTCCAATCTAATCCCATCCTCTCTCTTGGAAATCTGGCATTGGTATTGAGTCTATTAGGCACATAGATGCCAAGCATCACAGCTGCCTAGTTAATTTTTCTTCCCAAATTTCACATTTGAGATTGTCAGCTTTTTTTTTCCAATTCTAATGACTGTCTAAAGCTGAATCTTACAATGTAGCTTCTACTCTCCCTTGCAGAGAAGTGGATACTATTCTATGTCATAAACTGTCCCCTATAATTCAGTGTCCTCAACCAGGAGTGATTTTTCTCCCTACTCAGGGAACATTAAGCAATGTCTGGAGACATTGTCTGGGGTGTCTCAACTAGGGGGAAAGGGTGTACTCCTGGTATCAAGATGAGTGGGGGCCAGGCCTGCTGTTCAACGTCCAACAGTGTACTGGAAAGCCCCTTACAAGAAAGAATTATCCACCCCAATGTCAAGGGAAATGGAAATGAGAAACTCTGCCATAAGTACTATTGCTGAGAAAAGAGCCCCCTCCTTTTTTCACATTTGCAATTTTACATGTATTTGCCTGACTAGTGCCTGTTAGCCAAAATATTAATAATACATCTCCTATCTGTTCCATCTTTGCTCAGAACAGTGGGAAAATGGCTGTGAACTAAATAAGCAGAGTCACTACTGTCAAGGATCATACAATCTCAGGAGGGGACACCGACAATAAAAGCAAAGCTGGTGGTGTGGCAGACTACCGCTTTTCCTAGGGAAGCCCACTGAGGAGGAGGTGCCTAGCATCATGACATTGCTGAGGAAGTGTATTACAAGCAGGAGGCACAGCAGTTGTAAAGGTGTGAGGATGGAGAATAGTTG